TTTCCCCTCGAGGTGTCTTCAGTTTAGGACCTTTCACAGCTATATATATATATATATATATATATATATCGTTTCAAATATTTGCCCTCTTCTCTCAAATTTTTTTTGCATAATTTCCACTTTTTAATGATCATCAAACAAATGTAAATATCAGACAACCCAACTAAACATAAAGTGTTTTTAAATGGTGATTTTAATTATAAAGGAAAAAAAAAAAGTCGCGGCATGGTGATTGACTGGTTAGCAGATCCGCCTCACAGTGGAGAGGTGCAGGGTTCAATTCCGACTCTGGCCGTCCTGTGTGGAGTTTGCATGTACTCACCTTGCCTGCGTGGGTTTTGTCTGGGTACTCCGGTTTTCACCCACATTCCAAAAACATGCATGGCAGGTTAAGAGAACAGTCGATCGTGACCGTGAGTGCAAATGGTTGAAAATGGCTGCATGAAATGCTGTCCCACTAACGAAACCATGTCCGACAGATAGGGCCCAAAAATCTCAAAAACCCGCAACAAAAATACCATAATCCAAACACAACAGTGTACGAGAAAAAAAATAACGTAATTGATTTGTATCAATCTGCCTGAGGCGCTAAAGCTTTCGGAATCTTGTGCACCATGGTTAGACCATTTATCCACAATTGCAGAAAACATGAAATAAAAATTACTGCAAGAGCACAGCAACGACTCATCCAGGAGGTCACAAAAGAACCCAGGATAACATTGAAAGTACTGCAAGCCTCCCTCATCTCAGTTAAGGTCAGTGTTCTTGATAAGGAAGAGATTGGGTGAAAATGACATCCATGGCAGAGTTCCATGATGAAAATCTCCTCCAGAGTCTGGCTGCAGAGCCCACCTCTCTGATCACTCTTCCTCACATCTCTGCAGACCTCAAACCTCCACCATCAAGCCGGAAATGCATTCACTACTTTCAAAATAAAATAGCTTTTCATGTCTGTTTGCAAAATAAAATTGCTTTCCATATCCAGGTTCAGCATTTTACCAAAACACAAACGTATGTCTTCTCTTTTTGTCATTCAAGTTGTTTAGCATTTTGGAAATCCAATATAAATAAAGTTTAAGAATAGCATAATGGCATATGTGACCTGCGAATGACTGGCGACCAGTTCAGGGTGTATGTAGTCTGCCTTCCTCCCGAAATCAGGTGGGATAGGCTCCACCAACTCCCCGTGACCCTGTTCAGGATAAGCAGTGTTGAAAATGGATGGATGGATCTGACTTGCTGTTAGAGTGTTCCAAAAAATGACTGCATTTTTGGGCTGTCGGTGGACGTTTGACACCTGCAGAGACCTGGGCGGATGGGCCTGAGAAGCGAGATGTTCAGGCAGAACCTTGTCAAACCACTGCTGAGCAAAAATAACAATAAAAAATAACTGATTTCTGTTGTTGCTGTGAGGGGTGGCCCAACCACTTATTAGGTTTGAGGGGCAAGTAATGTACTCTTTCACACGGGGCCATGTAGCTTTCACAATTCTTTTTTGCTTTGTAAATAAAAATCACCATTTCAATTCCGGCTTATTTTTTTCCTGATAATTTCCTTTGATTGATGATTTCGAAGTTGTGTAGAATGCAAAACACTACCGGTAATAATTTCAGAAGAGGGCAAATACTTCTGACTCTGTGTGTGTGTGTGTGTGTGTGTGTGTGTGTGTGTGTGTGTGTGTGTGTGTCTGTGTGTGTGTGTGTGTGTGTGTAAAACATTTGTTTGTTCCACAGGCTTGTTGGGCGGCCAGGAAACTACTTGTATGTTGTAGGATCATACAGAATGGAAGAGGTAACCATGGTCTTTTTTATTTAAATTGTAAATTGTATACTTCACAGATTTTAATCTAAGATAAGAGAATCTAAGCAACGAACCCAGTCATAATCTTAGATATTAGATTGCAAAAGGCAAGGTCAATTTGAATTTTGAAAATATACAAAGCGAAACGACAAACGTCCAAATTCGCGAAACTTTAATCAGATGAGGTTAACGAGAAAACCAAAATACTGGCAAAACAAGAATCCATCGAAACAGGAGCCCCTATGAACGTGAACAGGACGTCTAGAATATACCTCTTGATCATAACAGCAAGCGAGGTCAATAATCCGACAGCGACGAGCCATTTTAACAATCCTTAAATACTTAAACTCCGACTTTATTGGGAACCAGACACAGGTGCAGCGCTGAAGAGGCCCACACTCCACTCCAGCTGGTGCACAAAAACAAAACAAAGACAGAGCCAAAACATGACAGATTCAATCAAAAAAATAATACTTTCAAATAAAATTTGGTTACACACACCTGTAGCACTTCGCATGGCGAGTTGAGTGTTTTCATGTCCTGTTTTTCCAGTGTGCCCATGCAGGCTGTCTTATGGAATTATGCATCCAGTTATGTATCACCATGCTTGGGAAGCAATTCATCCAAAACAACCTGTTTGAGATTGGCATACCGTAAGTGGAAAAACTTTCATTTGTTTGGACTTATTTTAAAACTGGTATCATGGTCGTTTTTATTTTGTTGAATGGTGTTGCCGTGGTGATGCCCTGTTTCCCAAGTATTTGTGCTTGCAAATACTTCATGTTTTTTTCTTTTTTTTTCTTTCTTCCCACGAAATTTTGCTGCTGTTGACTGAAAATTTCTCCATTGTGAGACAATAAAGGTTTTCTTATCTTATCTAACTCAAGAAATATGAGACTGATTTGATGGTCTTCACATTCTTGAAAATGTATGAAACTTTGAACACGTCATGCTTGACAGAAAAATCAATATTTTACGAGTTTACTGTGTGGTTTAAAATAAATGGCTTAGTTGCGCCACATCCAAGTTTTTTTTTTTTTTTTTTTTTTTAAACGAAACAGCTCCGGTTGTTCATTTCAACAAGATCCACCAAAAGTTGGAGGCAGATGCAACAGCCCAAGACCTAAAAAAAAGTCTCAGAAGCCCTATTCATAACTCAGAAGGAAGACGGACATTTTTTATTTCCCTTTCAGATGCCGTTAACGTTGGCCACTTAAGAAATCCTTGGATTAGTCTCACAATGGAGAAATTCCCAATTTATTTATCGATTTCAGATTGTCATCATCATCATCATATTTAGATTGAGGTCATATTCTTTTAAATAGCTTTTAGTGTACTTAATCTTTTTTTAAATTCCAATTTCGATGTGCCAGTGTCTCCACTTGGCATTACCCCAACGTTGCTACGTTGCTGTCAGCTACAGTTAGGGCCTGAGCGGTGACCGCTCCAAATCACTATTGTTTTTGTCGAAATTATTATTTATATTGTTATTATTATTTTTTTAACCAAAATTAATCACAGTTTTGGGGACCTAAACATGAACAAAAACTCACCAAACTGCACACTCATTGGCCCTGGTGAAAAATGTTGATGTTTTAAAGTCGTCATTAACGATGAAAACAAAACGATATATGAATGGCACCATCTAGAGCGGAAAAATAAAAAACTAACCCGGTACGTTTTACCTTGGCCTCCGGATATTGGCAGACACGTGTAGCATGCCGAGACATACAACAAAGTCTATTGCGGCTATCGTCTAAAATGAACAGAAGTGAATGGAAGTGAGCGAAAATCTTGAAACTCTGATTTTGGCCCATTTTTGCTCATTTACAGAGGTCATTCTTTTACACCCTTGTCCGAGAAGATTCATCCCATTGACTTCAAACGTCAACTATACTAAACTTTTTTTTTCATCAACATTTTTGTTTAATATTCCTTTGGCTACAAAGAAGGAAATGCTTAATAACTCCCTGGCAAATGCTCCCAAAAAAATTCCAAACTTGACATGTATATAAATTATGTTCTGAAGACATTTATACGATACTATTCTGATATACATATCGCGCCACCTAATGATCACCAAATGATACAAACTCTAAATTCTTTGCAATTTCACATTGGGGAACATTGTCCTCAAACAGTATTGACGATTTTCACAAAGAGGTCCCATGTTTGCTTGTGAACGACTCCTTCTTTTAAGTTTATCGGTTCGAACATTAAATATATTTTGTATTCACTTAAATACAGTTTGAACGTGATTTACAAATCCTTCTATTCTGTTTTTATTTATGTTTAACACAACGTCCCAACTTCATTGGAATTGCGTTTGTAGTTTTCCTCAACTCATGCTCTGCTCGCATTTTGATTCCAAAGTCATTATCCTGGTAGTGCACCTCCAAGGTGTTTTATGTGGGCTTAAGGTTGTCTCAAGTTGAAATAGGAGCAACAGATTGCAGCACATGTGAGATTTTCCAGATGAATTTATTCAGGATTTCATCAACCGTCTCCGCATTGACAGATGGTGACACAGACAACGTTTCAATTAACTTGGTGCTGGTGTTTTCATTCATGTACCTATTTTTTAATGGACGCAGTGATTCCCTGAACTTTCCATGAAAAGTCTGCGATGTAGCATGATTCTGATTGGTAAACTGCGATATCGCAGAGGACAACTATACTTTCATTTTCTTCATTTTTCTGTAGCAAGCTGAAAAAAATGCTACATAAGAAAAAGTCTGCGATGGACTCAAAGCAACAAGAAGAGCTGATCAAAACCTTGCCGCAACACGAGAAGGACCATTTCCTCTGTCCTTTTGCTGGTCTTAACCCAGAGTACATGGAAATGAGTAAGTTATTATTTATTTTTAATCTCACTAAGATACTTTTAAATACTCGTGGATAATATAATAAATGGGGCAAGGGCGATCAAGCTGTTTTGGTAGCACAAAAATAACATTGCCGAAGGACTCAGAGTTGGGGAGAAAAACTGTTAAAAGGACTTCATGTAAAATAATTGGTCAAAAAAATCTACCCTACATACGAGGGTCATTCAATAAATAGGGTGGATTTTTTTAGTTTAAGGACTTCTAGTACAGAAGTTTACCGGTACTTTAAAAAAAAAAAAAATCAACATAGTCTCCCAGCACTGTCACACACGTTTCCCATCTGTGCACAAGCTTCCATATTCCCTCAGTGTCAAAATCTTTGGACTGATGTCTCAGCCAGTCACTCACAACACTTTTGACTTCATCGTCACTTTCAAACTTCATGCCTCCCTTGAACGCTTTTAAGGGAGCAAACAGGTGAAAGTCTGAAGGGGCAAGGTCTGGACTGGAAGGAGGATGAGGGAGCAGTTCCCAGCCCAGCGCGTTGATGGTCTGCACCATTTGGGCTGCTGTGTGAGGCTTTGCGTTGTCATGATGCAAGATGACTCCTGACCGATGACACCTGCGTTTGTTCTTGATGTCTTTCTTGACCTGCCTCAGCGGTTCACAGTAGTTGAAAGTGACGATGAAAGTTTGTGGAAGCTTGTGCACAGATGGGAAAAATGTGTGACAGTGCTGGGATCTACAGTGGAAAAAAACCCAAAAAACTAAGTTTCCATCTGGATTACAAATCCTCATTCTGAAAGATTAAGGATTATTTATTGAATGACCCATGTATATATATTTTTTTACGTAATGATACGTATATTTTACGTATCATTTGTCAATGATCATATTGGTTTCTCACATCTGATGCCTGCCAAATGTTTTACATCAGGGGTCCCCAACCGCCGGTCCGCGGACCGGTACCGGTCCGCCGGGCATTTGGTACCGGGCCGCACAGAAAGAACTTGCCTTAATTCCGTTTTATTTATTTCGGAAAACGAAAGATGTTTTATTTTGAAAAACTACCGGATTCTCCGTTACATCCGTCTGTGTCACACTTGACACACATCAAGCCACGCTTCTCCGTCACGTGACCGATTACTTCAAAACAAACACAGGAGCTAGCAAAATGAGTAAAAAAACTGCTGGAGATCGCAAATGACGGCGGCCTTAAAAGTACGTTCGAGACAACTGGATTAAAGTTATGTCTGAATACTCTGAGATCGCCACAATAGCACTGTTGCTATTTCCGACATCCTACCTGTGTGAGGCGGGGGGTTTCTGCAGCAACGGCGACGAAAACAAAATTACGAAGTAGACTGGACATAAACCACACACTTGAGGTGTCATTGTCTCCTATTACCCCGAGATGGGACCGTCTGGTTGCAGAAAATCAAGCTCGGTGCTGTGGTGAGTCGTCATTTTCATGCACTTTGAATTTGCGTTGTATCGTATTTTGAAGGCATTAAACATTGCCATAGCGATCGGAGTGTTGCGGCCAGATTAGACGCTCCTTGTGTTTATTATTATATTTCGAAAACACCACAGTTTTCATGCAGCTCATACCATATTATTTTGTTGTATTATTTCCACCACACCTTAAATGCCGGTCCCTGAAAATATTGTCTGACATAAACCGGTCCGTGGGGCAAAAAAGGTTGGGGGCCCCTGTTTTACATTATTGATGTTTTCTTGTTGAATTCACCTTCGACGGTAAAGAATTTTTTAGGCTTTAAAAAATGTTCAACAGAATAACAAGCACGACTGTCTCATGTTTCTGTAGTTATCCAATTTGGGATGGTGACTCTTTTTGTGGCCTCGTTTCCTCTGGCGCCACTCTTTGCTCTTCTGAATAACGTCATTGAGATACGTCTGGATGCCAAAAAGTTTGTTATGGAGCTCCGAAGGCCGATTGCAGGGAGAGCCAAAAACATTGGTAGGTGTTCTTCCTGAGACAAAAACATTGATAAACACTAAACACAAGATAAAGATGAGACCTCATTCACCAAATACCATTTTATTCGTAAAAAGCTTTTACGTGGCAGCCACCCCTGTGTTCATGAACACAAATGAAAGTGATTCTCATCTGATTCGAGATGATCCGATGAAAATCAATCTGATGCACATTTGAGTGGCGATGTGGTAGAGTGAAACGATTGTGTATTCTTTATATTAAGCCACACAATTTTGGCCAATTGCAACGTAATGATATCCAACACACGATAGTAATCAAATATTCTGCCGACAGAAAGAAAGCCAGCGAGGTTTTATTGTACATGTTATTTCTGTGTTTGTCATTTGCAGTGGTGTAGAACGAAACAGCAGAATACTGAGTATCCTATTTTGACACTTGCATGCTACGAACTGGCATAACACCAGCGGTGTTATAATGCAGTCCAGCTTTACACCATTGATTTCATTACAATAGGCTAATTCAACCACATTTCTTTTGGCATATTTCCAATTGCTTACTCCCCAGTTTCACAGCCCACAGCTCACCAATTACTAAGTACCACATAGAACACTCATTTATTGATTGGAACACTTCACAGTGGATGAATGCTCTTATTAATGGCAAGAAGGTTCTTGGAAAGAATCTCAACTCTCTTCCTGTGTGGAATTTGCAGGTTCTCTTCATGCTGGCGTATGTTTTCTGCGGGTACCCCGGCATCCTGCCACGTTCCAAATATGAGTGTAGATGGCATCGATTACACTTGCAGTATACAGTATAACAGTCAGGGACATGCAATCAGCAAACGCTCATATCTTTCTTAATCACTGTCGATGATCACAAGGCTGGCTGCGAGTCGGAGATCGCATGCTATCTGGGCACATCCGTGATCGCTTTTCTCATGGGACTAAATTGTGCCGGAGTTCACCGCTCAACAGTTTGTGCAAAACCTGCGCGTACCCAGGGAGTCATTCCTCTACACCTGCGATCGTCATGATAACCCCTCCCACCGTTCTCTGCATGCCGCCCCCTGACATAGTTGGTGCCAGAGTATGGCCCAACAAATAATTGGGGCCATCTTAAGCACCAATTTCAAGCAACAGAGCTAGAACAAGAGCCAATTTCTGTGGCGGAAAAAGAAAGAACTGGTGTTAACCTGGACAATGGCCTTGAACTAGCACTAGCACTAGCGCAATCGCGGTGGAAAAGGGTCAAGTGAAATCTCAACAGCATCCCCATAGCCCTCCCAGGACTGATGCCCAGATGATTTCCTTAATGAAGGTCCTTGTTTCTTGTTTCTAGGTATCTGGTACAACCTATTAAGGGGACTCAGCAAGGTGGCTGTGATAGTAAATGTGAGTTTTCGAGCCAGTCAACAGATGCTCTTGCAAATCATGCTCCAAGCTAAGAACGTTGTCCACATCATCTCATCCTCATTTCTAAAAGATAGTGGTAATTCATAGTTTTTGGTTCCCAGGCCTTTGTGATCGCCTTCACATCTGACTTCATCCCACGGCTTGTGTACCAGTACATGTACAGTCCTGATGGCACCATGCACGGCTTTGTCAATCACTCTCTGTCTTACTTCAACGTGAGTGACTTTGAGCCTGGCACAGACCCTTACCAGCCAATGATCCTAGGCCATAAAGTAAAACTGTGCAGGTAAGATTATGCTTTCCAGCTAGCTAATTCTTCATGACGACTCATGACGTCCATGTGGCGTAGCGAGTAAAGACGTGACCTTTTAACAGATCTTTTTAAGATGTTTTTTTTAAATGTATGAATTAGGTATAAGGACTACAGAGACCCTCCCTGGTCCAGCACACCATATGATTTCTCCAAGGAGTTCTGGGCCATTCTTGCTGTTCGCCTGGCTTTTGTTGTTGTCTTTCAGGTAATGACATATATGATAATGAGGAACTCATTTTGTGAATACTTGATTATGCATTCACTATAACCAAAAATCGATTGAATCGTTTTCAAGATCATGCTAAAAATGATGCTTAAAACATCCTGGCCCTCATTCAATGTTTTGTATTTATGTATTTATAGTTTTGCTTTACGAAGGCACTTCAGCAAATGTTACATTATATTTGTGAATTTCTTCAACGTGCATAACATCACTTCCTAAACTATAGTGTAAAGGAAAACCATAAGTAAACATAAAAACACATTGTTTACAAAGTGACGTCATGCTGTTGTCGGTAAGGATGAAAAATTATACATTGGTGAATGCCACATCTTCAGAACTGATTGAGCACTAAATCTTACATCGACATATTTTATACTGGATGGGGCGGGGCATATTGGAGCGATTGGTAAAAATGCCTCATTTTGTGCTTTAGGATCAACCAACCAATTTACAGTGAGAGCCATATCTAACAGGATTAAAACTGTGACAAGACTTTGGACTGTAACATCAATTTGTGAATAAAATTTGGTGAATTTGTGGCTGACCCCAAATAAGCGGTAGAAAATGGATATTTGGATGGATGGTGACTTAATTTGACATTTCCAAATTACGTTAATCAGAGATGGGCACATGACGGTCCGTCCTCCAACTGCAACCTGGGGATCCTTCCATCATCGTCCCTCCGTCCTTATTGATAAAATAATTGTCCTCTGTCCACCTCCATCCTGGTCCTTTTAAAGCGCTTATGTCCTGACATTTCACCAGTACACTCCCCACTCAACCCCCCGCCTCCAAAAAAGCATCCGTTCATAACGCCATTGGAGGAAGGCTAATAATGCAAATCCCGATTTGAGTTTGGGCATTGTATGTAATAAATAAGTCCACCATTGCCTCTCTGTATTCCATGGCACACCTGATGTTCTCTGAAGGCACAATAATGTGCCACAGCACACTGGTTGAGAATCACTTCACTGCTCAACAGAGCTGTATTTCCATGACCCTGTGTTGTTTGACATCACGTTCCCTCCACTGTCAGGTTCAGAAATGAACTGAATAATATCTTCAATCTCAGAAATGCAGGCTCAGACAAATTGCGATAATAATCCATCCATCCATCCATTTTCCGATCCGCTTATTTTCTCACAAGGGTCGCGGGGGGTGCTGGAGCCTATCCATTATTATTATTATTGCCTTGCAATAACCCAAAAAATTTATTTTACAGAAACGCATACCGACAAAGTACTAACAGAAATCGCTGGATAAAACGAGCCATGAAAAAAAAAAAAAACTTAAACTAAAAGCGCTTGCAAAAGGCAGGGTACAAGGAAGAACACAGAGAATACAAAATAAATGGCAAGAGTCCAATAAAGCGAAAAAATAATTCAAGAGCAAAAAAATAAATAAATAAAATGCTTACAAACAAGGAACTATGAAAAACGAAAGCGACTCAGAATGATATCAAGAGGTCTAGAAAATGACACTTGAGGCACAACAGAAAGCAAGGTCAATAATCCGACAGAGACTTCGACTAACGCAACAACATTTATCACGAGTCCTTTCTCTTTACTTCTCATGTTTCTAATCTTTCCTTATTTGCTGCCTTCCACCTTTGCAGAATGTGGTCATGCTCATGAGAGACTTTATAGATTGGTTGATCCCAGAAATACCAAAGGACATCAGCCTCAAAATACACAAAGAGAAGGTCCTGATGGTGGAGCTATTCATGAAAGAAGAGCATGGAAGGAGGCTTGCTCGACGTGACAGTCACAACCATAACAGTTATACTTCCCCGTCTTCCTCAAACCAGAGCCCACAACAACCACGATCTCGGGCTGTGTCAAACACAAACTGCTCTTAAAGTATTAGCTGTAGACGTCTGGAAGAATAAGCAAAAATTGCTCATACAAAAAAACAGGGTGGCCCTGAACTTTTCATACAGAGGGAAAAAAAATGGGGCGTCTGAAACATAAAGTACATGTTAAATTGTATGTTATGGAAACTTATGGCCGGTCCTGCACTACAAAACTCATTTTAAGTCAGTGAACAACCTTCTCTGTTTTCAGCCTCTGTAGCTAAAAAATATTACACAATCTGATGAAAGGAGCTTTGCGGTTCTGCATTCTGGGTTTTAAAAATAGTAGTTGTGCTATGTAAATCAAAATCTCAATGTAGTTGATCATCATCAAAAGTGTTGATCATTTTACTTTTTTTTTTACTTGATTAGAATGTTAAGACAAAACATTTCTGAAACAATTTTTTGGCTTCGTTAATATTGATTGTGTTGTTTGGTAGATATAGATATATGTAGAAATAGATAATAGATTTTTTTTTGGAAGATTGTATATTGATGTAGTGTGTTGGGCGTATGGTGAGCATGTCTGCCTCACAGTTCTGATCTTCAGGGTTCAAATTTCAGCTCAGGCCTTCAATGTGTTGCTTGCATGTATTTATGTTTTTCCCATGCTGGCATGAATTGTTTCCGGGTATTCTTGCGTTAGTGTGTGTGTGAGTGATTACTCATCTTTCCACCCATCCATTTTCAACACTCCTGATCCTGAACAGGGTCGCGGGGGGATCCTGGACCTATCCCAGCTGACTTTGGGCTGAACTGGTCGTCAGTCAGTTGCAGGGCATATTATGTTTGCATTTGTAATTTGTCACATAGGCCAAAAACCCCACTATTATTTTAATTAGCAATACCTTTTTACCAGTTATCATGATTGTTTTATCCAATGTTACAATTTGCCCTCAGGCACAGCTACATCACCCCTTGTCACTGATTATAGCGCTTGATATGAGACTCCAGACCAGCACTCTACTGCATCATGTCATCATTCATGAGAAACACGACGCAATTGGGAATCAGTCCCACCTCTCAAGCACACCCGAATGTACTCATCCTTCTGTCCAATACAACACTATCAAGAATATTTTGTACCGCTGAAATTATTACCGTCCTGCATTAAACTTTGTATTAATGTTCTTAAATTGATGGCTTTATGAATTTTTCTTGAATGCCATTTTGTAGTCTGCCTATCTTATCAGCAAGACCTGAAATCATGAAGTACATCAGTATTGACGGGACACCCATTTTGTTGATGATTGCCAAATGATGGGAAACTTAAAAAAACAGAAAAAAAATGGACCAAGCACTGACAGAGGTGGCTTTTCATTAGTCAGTGTAATCATCACGAACCAGGTCAAGTACCGATGGACCTTTCAGTCAGTCACTGAATGACGCCCATTTTGCTGACAGAAACACGCCCCACCTGTCTCATGTGTTTCTTTGTGGGGCTGAATACAAGCACGGATGCTTCCCTTGAATATAATTGGAAACACTTTGCGCTCCCTGTACAGTATGTGGAGGCATGCACCAAAGAGCTGTTAATATGCCAGTGAAACAGGAAAAAGAAGGAGAAGAACGAGAAGAAGATGATGACGACAAGCATTTACAGTGATTCCTCACCAGTTCACGCTTCAAGTTTTGTGGCTTCAGTGTTTTGGGTTTTTTTTTCAAAAATTAATCAAAATTAAAAAAAATAATATAGGCGTTTCAGCACTCATGTAGTGGAAAGACGCGTTGTGACATGTTGATGTGCGAGAGATGGTTTCCTTTAATGCTGAACAAAGAGCTGACACGACTCAGAGGCCTTGTCCACTCAAACAAATCACATGACTGGTTCACGGCGCGACATTGACCAATGGGATTTATCCCGTGAGCTCTTTGGCTCTGCATCATCGCCACTCTGTCTCGCATACTGTATTGTCGTGCTAGCGATAATTTTTTTTTTGTTTCAGCGATAACTTTTTTTCGATTAGTTAAGCTGCGCTCCAACCTCTTGCTGCCATCGAAGCAATGCGTCCCGGCTGTATGGGAGTGTGTAAGCCCGCTTGTCAGAGATGGCACCATTAATAGGGACACATTAGCCCTGTTCACACGGCACACATTTGGTCCGACGCTGCACCGAAATATTTTGTTGCGATATATTTTACACCGGAGCAAATTTTGTGGAGCGGTCACACGTGCAAAGCCGCTAAGAGTGACAGCTCCGGCGCAGAGTCGGCGCAGCTCTACTTGCGGTCACACGTGCAGTTTCTGCTGCAGACAAAAACGACAGGAATGCGGAAGTAAAACAGGTTCGGGTCGGGCTTCTCTCTCGCGGACTTTTATTTATTTTTCTTTTAATAAATATTATGGCGGACATTATTCTGTCCTTGTTCAGAATAGATCCATTTGTCGGCAGTCGTGGAATAAAGACGTGTTTACAGTCAATCGTGTGTGCTCCTTATGACTGCCACAATATATGTTTTAAAAAATGTATACTAAAACAATGTGCGGATACTAAACTAAGGAATACTTGTTTTAAAACAAACAATTTGGATAAAACAGAATGCGCTGTAATTTAATTGCTATTTAACTGCTAAACAGGAGCGCGGCCGGCCAGACCAGTGCG